TTCCATTGAACGCTTGAATCTCTTTGACTGTCTGAGGCGGCCTCAGGCTTGTAATGGCTTCTATCTGCTTTGGGTTAGCCTCTATTCCTCTTCTGGTGATCATGAACCTCAGAAACTTCCCTGCCTTGGCGCCAAACACGCACTTGAGAGGGTTTAACCGCAGACTCTCTTTTCTCAAGTTCTCGAACGTCTCCCTCAAGTCCTTCAGATGATCTCCTTCCTCTTTTCTTTTGACCAGGACGTCATCTATGTATGCTTCCACGTTTCTGCCCAGCTGGCTCTTGAAGACTGCATCTATCATTCTTTGATATGTTGCTCCTGCATTCTTTAGGCCAAAAGGCATGACCGTGTAGCAGAAATTTCCCATGTGGGTCATAAATGCGGTCTTCTCCTGATCCTCTTCAGATAATCGAATCTGGTGATAGCCTGAGAACATGTCAAGAAAACTAAGACTTTCATGGTTGGCGGTTGCATCTATGAGCTGGTCGATCCTTGGAAGAGGGTAGGCGTCCTTTGGGCAGGCCGCATTCAGATTTGTGAAATCAATGCACATTCGCCAAAGCCCGGAGGCCTTGCGAACGAAAACCGGGTTTGAAAGCCAAGTTGGGTACTTGACCTCCCTTATAAAGCCGGCTTTGAGCAACCGCTTAACCTCCTCTTCTAACGCCATCTGTTTCTCTAGGGATGCATTCCTCCTTCGCTGCTGAACAGGCTTCCCCTTGCTTTTTACTGACAAGTGATGTTCGGCGAGCTCCCTTGATACGCCCGGCATGTCCTCGGAAGTCCATGCAAATAAGTCTTTGAATTCTTTGAGGAGCGCCAAGAGTTCTCTTGCTTTTTCCTCTGCGAGGTGGGAAGAGATTCTCACCTTCTTTTCTGGATCCTCGCTATCAAGTACCACCTCGGCATCGCCTTCTACTGCCTCTGGGTGAGGATGACCGCCTCTAGTATCTACCAGGTCCACCTCCAAGCTTTCTATGGTCGCCTGGTAGCATTCCTTTGCTTGCTCAGTGTTTCCTCTGACTCGTCCAACTCGCCCGCCCACTGGGAACTTGAGCGTCTGGTGGCAAGTGGATGGGACCGCTGAGAATAATGATAGGAAGCCGCGCCCTAGGATCGCATTGTATGCCGACGGGCATTCTGCCACGTGGAAGTCCATGGAGCGGGTCTTCGTTATGTCTGCTTCTCCAATTGTCACCTGTAACGTGATTAATCCCAGCACCCTGATTTTCGATCCCGAAAATCCTACCAGGCTTGTGGCTGAAGGTTTGAGATCTTGGACGCTCACTTCATGCTCTTGAGAGTAGAATAGAACAGTATGTCTGCTGAGCTGCCGTTGTCAACCAGTGCCCTGGTGACTTTGAACTTTCTTGTTCTTAAAGAGACGACTAGCGGATCTTCAGCGCTTTCCTCAGGGGCCAGCTCATCAGGTGAGAAGCTTATGTCCACCTGCTCGCTCTTGTGGACGTTCAAGCATTGGATCAGGCGCTCTCCTTCGCTCCTGGGTCTCTTACGACCGCCTGCGATAGTTATGACTTCCACGTCGTCTTCGTTGATGCCAGTTTTCGATGAGGGGGGGACCTTCTTGGCGGCGGTGGCAGACGATCCCGCCTGGGGGAACACTCCCTTCTTTGTGATCTCGACCTCCTTCGTTTGGGTGTACGCGATCTCCTCCTCGGGCTCGGCGACCTGTCTTTGTGGTGTATTTGTTCTTCCCTCTGCGGCCTCGTATCCAAGCGGCTCCGGAGGTCTCCGGGCGCTAAGTATTTTAGGCTGGCTTTGAATTCTCGACACTCTGTGGTGTCATGGGTGGGCATCTGGTGCCAGTCGCACCATTTCCGATCCTCCTCTCTCCTATGCGTTTGATGCGCGTTGCCGTCACTCCTCCGATCTCGGCCTCCTTCTTGGCTGGCGGTGAAAACTTCCTTCCTGTTATCCCGATGTGTAAAACGCGACTTGTAGCCTCGCTTTTCTGGAGAGCGTCCTCTTCTTTTGGGCGATCCCCCCTTCTTCTTTTCCGCTCATTCTCTTGGGTTGGAGCGTTTGACGGCTTCTTCGGTTACCATGGCCTCTTCCAGCAGGATCGCCTTCCTTACCAGGCGGTCTAGATCGGTCCATTCTTTTAGGGAGTGCTCTTTTTTAATGAGCGCCCTTCGGAGCTCGCGACTGTGCGTTGACATGCGAAGGTTTCCTGCTGCTACGCTTGGCGAGATCCCCAACACTTCGCAGGCTATTGTGTTCCACCTGTCGTAGAAATCTGTCAGCGACTCTTCTCCTCCTTGTTTGCAATTAATGAGCGATGAAAGCGTCAGCTTCCTCCTCCTTTGGGACGCGAACTTCGAGGAAAAGAGGATCGCGAACTGCTCAAAGTTTTCTATTATCCTCTCTGGCAGGGAGGTGTACCAAGTTCGACAGTGGTCACTGAACGTGACCGGGAACGCCTTACACAGAACAGCGTCTGTAGCGTTGATGAGTTGCATAGTGAGCATGAAGGCGCTCAAATGGTCGGCGGGGTCTGAGCTTCCATTGTATGTAGGGAGCCCAAGTGACGAGAAGTTTGGGGGAACTTGAGTCTTAAACAAACTTCTTGCCAGTGGGTTCTGAAGGATGTTCGGACCCTTGACCTTCCCATACGAGGGCCTAAGATGTTCCTTAAGAAATCCAAGGCTGAGATCCTCTGCTCCTTCTTCACTGTCTGACTAGGACCGCCTTCTTTCCTCTTTCCTTTAACTGCCCTCTTCCCTGAACTTTCAGGAGTGTCACTTTCCTTTTCCTTGAGCATGGCCAAAATTTGGCTCAAGTTCTCCTGCATACTTGATATTTGTTGTCCCTGACTCTTGGCGTGGTCTTCCATTTCCATTTCCTCTTCCATAGTGGGCATCTCTATTCCTCGTATTCCGCTCGCCGGTGCGTCTGGTGCGCGGAGGTGACTTCTCTCTACTACGCCTTTGACGGGAGTGTTAGAGCTCCCATCCATCTTTTCTTCAGTGCAATGCTCGCCCCACGGTGGGCGCCAAATTGTTCGAGCCTAGAAAGTTCTAGGCGGTTTGTGGAAAGCGAGCAAGGCGTCTGTTCCAGATGACGGGGGACTCCAAGCTCCTGCAAAACAAGGGTCCGTGGGCGGTCACCCCGGACACCCTCGGATGCTTAATTTAGAGAGAGAATAGGAGATTTAGTAATGTTTAGAGAGAGAGAGAGAGAGTAGTTGGGTTACCATCAATGCAGATAGGAATGTATTTATAGTGGGTTGGCCTGGACTTCGAGCATTAAATGCTATGTCAGGCGTCCTAGATCAGACCCTGCTTTATCTAGACCGCCTACGGCGGGCAATTAATGCTCAGTCCTTCAGTATTCGAGGTGAGTATCCTCGGAGGATCTCCCCTTCTGCCCGTAACGGCTCTTTGTGTCAGGCGTCCTACTACCTGTCCTGTCCTAGAGTGGCCGCCTTCCTTTCTCTGTTCCCCATGTGGTATGTTCCCCATGTGATCCTCTCCTGGGCCCCTTTGACGGGCCTTACTCCTTGGGCCTTCCGTGGGCCTTCAAGCCCAATGCCGCTCAGCTATGGCCCAACAAAACTGTTGTTAAGACCGGACCGTACCAGATCGAGTAAAATGCGGTCCGGTCCTTGGTCCTCATGAATTTTATAATTACTGAAGAAATGGTGGACGAGCTCATATTTGGACCGGACCGAACCAAACCAAATGGACCAAATGCAAGAATGGTCCGGTCCTTGGTCCTAACATGTCTTTCACTAATAGACCACGGTTCTCATGAGTTTGGTCCGGACCGAACCGAACAGTTGCACACCCTTAAATAGAATTACTTAAAATGTTCATGTTTGTCACTAAATTTATTCATTGCATCCGCAGTCACTCAAATTAGTTCAACAATTCAAGTTTGGTCACTCTCTATCAGTTTTCGTTAACTTTAGCTAATGTGACAGTCAATTTTGAAAGTTGGCCGTTAAATAAATGATGTGGCAATTAATAAATAAATAATATATAAATTTTAAAATTTACACCTCATTTCATAACTATAAAAAAATTAAAATTAATTTTCTGTAATTGCCAAGTCAATTCTTGGCGTAGTCCTTGTAGTAGGTCCGGGGAATGGATCAGATCAGTAACCTTATGGTGAGTAACCATGAGTAACCCGTCCACATCAGCATGATATCAGCATCCTCTCTCTCCTAGAAAGCCTTTAATTTTTCCTTCCTTAATCTTTGACGGACGATTTCTCACTCGTTTTAAGTCGTAATTTAATTTTTTTTGCACAGTTAGATCATATTAATTGTGCTCATCAAAATGATATCCACTTTGATATATTTTTCGAACAAAAAAAGCCATTTTTTACCAGTCTATACCATATGGTATTGACTGGTATTGATATAAGAGCATACATATGGTTTGAAAAGCGTACCATGGTGGTATGAACAAACAAAGACTGTAGGATGATTGAATACATGATAGTATAAGTATATTAACTGTCATTTACGACTTTTAACATTGTGTACCACAAGATACCACCTCGTACCAGGGTGGTATTGTATGGTATTGTGTGGTATTTTTTTGGTCCTGTAATTTGTTCACCCAGAAATTTGTAGATCGAATAGATCATGATGAACTCGTCCCTTCTGTGCAAACGTTTTCAAAAACGAATTAAAAACGAAGAAGATACCATATGATATGCAGTTGGTACCGAGAGGCCAGGATTTTTTTTTCTCAAAAAATATTGAAAATTGATCTCATTTTGTAGAGCGCGATGAACTCGTTCCATCTGTGCAAAAAAAATTAAAATCCGAGTTAAAACGAAAAAGATATGAGTTGATTAAGAAAGTTAGGGAAAATAAAAATGGTCTTTAATTCTCCATCCTTAGATATGGATTTTCTAAATGAAGGGTCCAGATTTGGTCTTTAATTGAGCCGTAGGTCCGACAGGTCGGATACCTTCTGCTTGTCCAGGGTGTGGTTAACAGCGGAGCTTAGCTTCTCCACTTCATCCTACACCGCCAAGCACTCCCCGCTAGCCAGATCCTCTGCGCAAGCCTCCTCTGCTCCTTTGATGCTCTCTTCCACATTGCTCTGGATTTGATCCAGCGATGTTATCACCGGTCGGAATCCTCCTCTCCCATTCTTCATCATCACCACAGACAGTTGTTGCTTCATCGGCAAAAACGCTTGCGGCTGAGCGCTAGGAGCTTCTGTCATCACCTTCCAACTAGCCAGGGTAGTATTTCTTGACTTCCATTCCATCTTTCGCAATAACTCTTGCTCATATAATTATTTCCGGTTTCTGGTTCACCGTCCCTAGTGGATAGCTCATAGCTGCTCGGAACAGTATGTAGCTCAGTAAACTTCCCAGCATCTGCTAACAGCTGAAGAAAATCGTCTTTCTTCGCTATCTCCAAGTTCTGATCCAGAGCCATCTCAGTCACAAGACACAACGCAGAGTATCAGTTGGAGCGACTTCATACGTGGAAGGAAGTTGGCGCCAAGATTAGCACAGTAACTCTGTGTTTGAATGTCTTCTTCCTTATCTTTTACTCTATACTTCTTACCTCTCTTTACCTTGCAAACCTTGGACTGTAGCTACTGCAAACTGAGTACAAATACTCCAAATCGTTGAGAAACAAAGTAAGATGATTTTTGGGTTTCATTGCATCTATGATGTTATGATATCAGAGCCTCAACCCTAGCCATCATTGACCAAAAATGGCCGCAGCTACTGCTTCTCAATAGGCCACCACCACAAACTACAATGACTGGAGCAAAACAATGTTCAATGCCCTTGGATCGAAAAAGATCGGCTTCACTGAAGGCACCATTGCACCTCCAGCAGCCACTGATGCTCTCTATTGGTCTTGGAGTCGCAACAACATCATGGTTCTTAGCTGGATACAACATTCTGTTGAACCAGGTATTCGAAAAACCCTTGTCCTCAAACATGCATCTGAAGCCTGGCTAAGCTTGAAAGCTCGATATTGTCAAGGTGATGTCATTCGTGTAGCTGAACCAATTGAGGCCCTATCTAGTCTGAAACAAGGCACTCAAACCCTAAATGAGTATTATGGTCAATTCATTACCATTCATGATGAATTAGATGGTTATCAAGTTTTATTTACCATTCATGATGAATTAGATGGTCAATTCATTACCATTCATGCACCTGTACTGAAACCACTACTCAGACATGTGTTGCTTTGAAACTAGTTCTAAGGTATCGAGACACCAACTACGTTATTCAGTTTCTGCATGGTCTCAATGATAACTACAACACTGTTCGCTCTCAAGTGCTCTTTGGTGACTCCTTACCATCAATTGATCAAGTATTTCAAAGGATCCTCCAACACGAAAGACAGCAGGATGGCACTCAGCAGGGCAAAGTGTTGGTTGCTGATTCTTTTTCTCTAGCTACTCAGGGCAGACGTACTGGTCCACCTGGCAGGCGCCCTCACTGCACCTTCTGTAAGTAGAATGGTCACACTAAGGATGTGTGCTACCATAAGCATGGATGGCCTCCTGGCATGCTTACAAGAGCCATGACATCCACAACAAAAAAATTGGACTGCACCTTCTGCAAACGAAGAGGTCACACTGAAGACAAATGCTTTCATAAGCATGGCCGACCTGCTGGTGAGGACCAAAAGTCACTCAATCTGCTCCTATCTCCAGACCTCAATCAAATGTTGTGATCTCCTCTCCTTCTGCTACACTTGACCAACAAGAATTTAGGTTGGTCTTCCCATACTGTTGCTGCTTTTAACAGCTATTAAGGATCACTAGGTAAATCGTCTTTCACTGTGTCTGGTAGGAAACCTTCAAGCTCCACTTGGATCTTGGATACTGGGACTCTGATCATATTGTGTGCTCCTTGCATCTACTAGAGAACTACAGACCTATCTTAAATGTTTTCATTTCTCTTCCAACTAGTGATCAAGTAGCAGCCACACACATTGGTCAGGTCACCTCAGTAGCTAACCTTTGTAGGAAGATGTTTTGTTTGTCCCACATTTTCCCTTCAACCTCATCTCAGTATGCAAGCTGATCACCAACAAATCACTATGCTTAACCTTCTACTCAATTTTTTGCATGATACAGGATATGGAACTCAGGAAAGTGGTTGATTCTGCTGAGCTTCACCATGGCCTTTATCACATGACCAACATAGGATTTCCCTGTGGCCCTAAGCTAGTCATAGCCACTACTATAGCAAAAACCTTTGACCTCTGAAATTTTAGATTATGACATGTTTCTCATTTCAAGATACCAAAGTTAAAAAAAAACTTTGCAAATCCATAGAAATCAACAGTTCTATTCCTTGTGATGTTTGCCACTTTGCAAAGCAAAGAAGGCTTCCTTTTCCAGACAGTACCACTGTTTCTGTTGATCCTTTTGCTATGATCCATGTAGATATTTGGGGACCATGTTCTTATCCAACTTTTGATGGTGTTAAATATTTTTTACTATAGTTGATGACTTTAGTAGGATGATATGGATAGTTCTAATGCAAAACAAGTCTAAGGCTAGACCAAAACTGCAAGAATTCTGCACTCTAGCTGAAAGACAATATAATCATTTTGTCAAAAAGATCATGAGTGATCAGGGTAGAGAGTTCTCAATGCCAGAATTCTTTTCTTCCACTGGTATTGTTCATGAAATGTCATATGTAGAAACACCCCAACAAAATAGTAAAGTTGAGAGGAAACATCAACGTATCAATATAATCATTTTGTCAAAAAGATAAGGAGTGATCAGGGTAGAGAGTTCTCAATGCCAGAATTCTTTTCTTCCACTGGCATTGTTCATGAAATGTCATGTGTAGAAACACCCCAACAAAATAGTAAAGTTGAGAGGAAACATCAACGTATCTTAGCCATTGCCAGAGCCCTGAAACTTTAATCTCACTTACTAATGGGATTCTGGGGTGAGTGTGTCAAACATGTTGTTCACCTAATCAATAGAGTCCTACTTCTGTTCTAGGCGATCTCACCCCATATAAAAAACTTCACAACAAAGTTCCTGATTTTCACAGTCTAAAAGTGTTTGGCTGCTTGTGTTATGCATCTACATTAATAAGCAACCATAGAACTAAGTTCCAGAGCAGAGCTAGGAAAGGAGTTTTCATTGGCTACCCAACAGGGATAAAAGGTTATAAAATCTATGATCTAAACTCCCATGAAGTGTTTATATCCAGAGATGTCATCTTTTATGAACAAACCTTTCCCTTTCAAGATCTGTCAACTGATACAGAACATCCAGATATACCAAAAAATCCTCTCTATACCCCTATTTCTTCCATGGACTTCCCTGATATTACTCCTACTTACCACCCTAGTCCTCCTACTCCCTCCCCAGTGCCCCACACACCAGCCCCAATTAGCTCTCCTCCACCCACTCAACCTGATCCTACCTCTCCAGCAATTCCCCACCTCCTCATCACTTCCAATTGCACTTAGAAAACCTCACAGGCAAATCAAACCTTCCAGTAAACTTCAACAATACCATTGCAACCTGCTCAAGCAGTCTTCTTCTACCAGTCACTCTTCAGGGGATCATGATTCAGGTATCACCTATACTCTCTCTGATGTCATTGATTACTCTACTCTTACTTTCCCACATCATAAATATGTTCTTAGTATATTTTCCCACAAAGAGCCTGACACATATGAGGAGACATTTCTTAGTCCTGAATGGAATGCAGCTATTCAGAGGGATATCAAAGCACTCTTTAAGAATCAGACATGGATTGTTGTGAGACTCCCTCCAGGAAAAAGGCCTATTGGCAACAAGTGGATATTTCGACTAAAACTTCTCTCTGATGGTCAACTTGATTTACACAAAGCAAGACTTGTGGCCAAAGACTTCAGACAACAGGAGGGTGTTGACTACCAAGACATATTTTCCCCATCTATCATGCTAACCACTGTCAGGATCTTTCTGGCCATAGCTGCCGCTAGAAACTGGTTTGTTCACCAATTAGACGTGAACAATGCCTTCCTACATGGTGATCTCCAGGAGGAAGTGTACATGAAGCTTCCCAAGGCCTATCAAGCTCCCTATGATATCCCCAATCCAGTTTGTCTGCTGAAAAAGCCCCTCTATGGCTTCAAAAAAGCCTAGAGACAGTGGTATGCTACTCTGGCTGATAGCCTTTACACATAGGGGTACTAGTCCAACCAAGTGGATCACTCACTATTCTTCAAAGCCACATATACTTCCTATACCTGCATTTTGATATATGTAGATGTGATAACACCAAAATTGGTGTTATTTACCCTACATATCGAGGTATGATTTGTGCCAATTCATGTGCTTAAATGCTTAAACATCGTCAAATACGTTCCTATTGCATTTCTATTTGATTTCGATGTGATTTAGGGTGTATTAGTCGATATGTGTGAATTAGGTATAAAACAAGGTCACAAGTGTAAAAAAGGGGGCAGGAATTGAAGATCACGGCCGGGATCACAAGCCGCGAAGTCTAGCTGGAGATCGCGGCCCAGAAGTCATAGATCGCGACCGCGACCTTGGGGGCTCAGGGTGCGAACTTCATGAGGAAGGATCCTTATAGAAGCAGAGAGTCTCCTCAGTCACGTCACGACCAACGTTCACATTGCCCGCGAGGAAGATCGCGGCCGTGACTCGAGGATCGCAACCTCAAAGTCAGCCTGCTATCTTCCCCTTCTCGAAGGCCTCGACGATTGCGTTTTGAAATCACTACCTAGAGACCAAAGTTCCCGCCTGCGATCTCCTTACCTCAAGCAGCGAACTTCTCCGAATCCATAATGCCTATAAATACAAGACCCATTTCCCCTTTTGAAGTGAGTTGATTTTGAGAGAAATTTTCTGGTTTCTAGATAGAGAGAAGAGAGATAAGCTGAAGGAAGGAGAAGAGAAGAAGGAGGAGGAGGAGCTAGGAGCAAGGATGCATCTTCTTCAACCCCAAGTCTTCTTCTATTTCTACCATATATCTTCTTACCTCCTTTATGGAGTAGTCCTTTAAGGTACTAGGGGTTCTAAACCCCAAAGCCTACTTTTAGGTTTTACTATGTATGTATGGATATTTTAGGGTTTGAATGAATGAATGTGTTTGTCTAGTTGATTTTAATGCCACTCTTTCCTAAATGATGATGGTTGGGTAAGTCACCATAATCTTCCCTCTTATCCTACTTTATGATACCACGTTGGGTATGGAGTTCTAGGGTTAGACGGGCATGCGCCATCTGGCGAGGTTAGGATAGATGTGTGAATGG